TTAAGACCCAGGAAGAGCTGATGTTTCAGTTTACATCCAAATTCAGGAAGAAATCAGTGTCCCAGTTTGAAGGCCATCAGACATTGTTTTTTTCCTGAATTTGGAAGAGTTCTCTCTTATTTGAGGGAGGGTCAGCCTGTTTGTTCTATTCAGGTCTTCAACTGATTGGATGAGGCCCACCCACAGTAGGTAGGGCAATGTGCTTTATTCAGTCTACTGATTTAAATGTTAATCTCATCCAAAAACAACCTCACAGAAACACCCAGAATTGGCAGGGGGCAGTGGCTCACACCTGTAATTTCAGCAGTTTGAGAGGCCGAGGCGGGTGGATCATGAGGTCAGCAGATTGAGACCATCCTGGCCAACATGGTGAAACCCCGTCTCTACTAATAATACAAAAATTAGCTAGGTGTGGTGAAACGTACCTGTAATCCCAGCCACTTGGGATTCTGAGGCAGGAGAGTCGCTTGAACCAAGGAGTCGGAGGTTGCAGTGAGCTGAGATTGTGCCACTGCACTCCAGCCTGGGGAGAGAGTGAGACTGCATCTCAAAAACAAACAAATACCCAGAATTATGTTTAACTAAATATCTGGGCACCCCATGGCCTAGTAAGGCTGATACATAAAGTTAACTATCATAAATGTAATATTCAAAGTGACCTGTATCACCTCTACAATATAGTGTTTGTTAAAAGTGAGTTGCTAAGTTAAGCCCACCGTCTCAAAGGGAGAAGAATTAAGCTCTACCTCTGGAAGGAAAGTGTATAGAATAACATGTGGACATATTTTTCAAACCACTCTAACCGCTGGTACTAGGAGACTCCAGTGTTCATTGAATAGAAGTTACTGAAGAAAAAAATGGAAGGAATGGTAGAGAAGTAACATTTGAAGAGAGAAATGTTTAGAATCGTCATCTTTCATGAAGAGAGAGATGAGTCTTCAAATCAAAATGGGGACTTGGGGTTTTAAACAAAATAAATGAAAATAAATTTTTAGACAGATTGTGATAAAATTGCAGGAGATCAAAAATAAAGGGACAAGAGCTGTCAGAGAGAAAAGATATATCACCTGCAGAGGAAAACAATTAGATTGACAATAGACTTCTTATCAAGTAAGAGACTGATAAGCAATGGGGTAGTGTTTTCAAAGTGTTGAAAGAAGGTAACTGTCATCTTAAAATTCTAAGTCTAGCTAAACTTTCATTCAAGATTGAGGACAAATCTCAAATATGCACAATAAAATTTATTTTTAAAAAAAGATTGGGGGTAAATATTAAGCTAAGTTATTTAACTTTCTGTCACTCTGATTCCCTATTTATAATGATAGGATAGGTAAATAATAATATTTACCTTACAGGCTGTTAACTTTTCTGTTCACTGTTACATCCCAAGTGCCTAAACAGTGCCTAACACATAGTAGGCATGCAATAACAGTTTATTAAATGAACGGATGAGTTAATAGGATTGTTGTGAGGATTTATCTATGTAAAGAATTTACAGCAATGCTGCCTGACATGTTAATAAGTACTCAATAAATGTTTGTTGTTAAGATTTTATGACCCATAGACACTCAGAATGACTAAAAATATTTCTCAACAAAAAGAAAAATTCTGTAAGGAAGTATCAAATATAAAAAAAATTATGACACAGAAATTGATAAAGTGCTAGTAAATTAACTAATGACCATGGAGAGGAGATTAAGAAAAATTAATCTTTTTGTATTATTTCTAAAAGGTAAAAACTGAAACCTTTAAGGTGATTCTAAAGTTCACATGAAAGAGCAAAGGGCCAACAGCAGCTAAGAGATGTTTGAAGAATGAGGAAAGGCTATTTGCCATACTAGATTTAAAGACTTATGAACTATAATAATTAAGACAGAAATGTTGGTACAGGGAATGGAAAATAGACCAGTGAAACAAAATGACCCAGAAGTAGACTCATGCATATATGGAAACCTTATATATGATAGAAAGCATTACAAATCAGTGGATACAATGGAGTCTTCAGTGAATCAAACTGGAACAATATGGGGAAAATGAAATTTGATATCCTACCATATAAAAATCAATTGTAGTTGGGTTAAAAACCTAAGTGCAAAAAAGAAAGACTCTAAAACTCTGATTTTAAAAAAGAAGAATCTTAGATTCTTCCTTAGCTAAAGAAGAACTTTTTGGAAAAAAACAACAGAATACAAACATAAGGGGGAAAAGGATTAATGCCACATTTAATATAGTCATATTAAAATTTAAAATGTTCATGTCTCAGAAAATCCAATAAACAGTGAAAAGACATGCCTCAGAGAAGTATTTGTAGATGATATAGCTGAGAAAGATTGGTATCCAGCATGAATAAAGAATTCCAAAAGTCAAGAAGGAAGAAACAACCCAATGGAAAGAAAAATCAGCAAAGGATGTGATGAAGCAATTTACATAGCAGGAAATATGAATGGCCAATGAACATATGAAAAGATCTTCAGTCTCACTGGTAATCAGACTAATGCAAATTATACTATTCTGTACTCATCAGACAGGCAGACATTTAAAAGGATGAAAAGTCTACGTATGTTGATAAAGATGTGGGAACGTAACACTCTTACACTACTGATGGGAGAATAGGTTGATTTAAGCACTCAGAAGAGCTATTTTGCAAAGCCAAATAAAGTCAAAGAATACGTAAACACCTGGAAATTCTCCTTCTGGTATGTGCTCTAGAGAAATACTGTTCTATAAATGCACAAGGAAGCATGTAAAGGAATGTTTATTCTAACACTGTTTGTAATGGTGAAAATTGTAAGCAACTAAATATGAATCAAATGAGAGTGTATGCTGTAATATATTTGCATAATGGAATATTATACAACAATTTCTCATGTTAATATTATATGCTACTTATGGATACATAACGTATACTAAAATTATGTATTTTCAGGCATGTTTTAAACACCAAGCCTTAATAAAGGTTACCTCTGAGGAAGTACATGAATGGATGGAGGGATATAAAAATGTAGTGAGATAAGCAAAGAAGACAAAATATTAAGAATTGATAAACTGAGTGGTGGCTACATGGTTATTATGGGCATTCTTTTGGACCCTATACTTGTTTGTATATTGAGATTCTTCATAGTAAATAATTTAAAAATAAATTACCAAACAAGTTTCATTAAAAATTAGTGAATTAGAGCTATATGTATTTACATGGACAGGTCCCTCACACTGATGAAGAAGATGCAGAAGTATATTGACATTGTAATAGCATTTATATAGAAACTATATAGAACAGTATTATGTGCTACTTATGGATACATAATGTATTCACCAAGTCATGATAAAGGTTACCTCTGAGGAAGTATGTGAATGGACAGAGCCAAGCAAGAATGTAGCCGGATAAGCAAAGAATGTCGAAATGTTGAGTCGATAAAACTTAGTGGTGGCTACATGGGTGTTATATTGGAACCTATACTTGTTTGTGTATTTGAGATTCTTCATAGTAAGTAATTTAAAAATAAATTACCAAACAAGTTCTGTGAATTATTTGTATGTGTGTATGTATGTGTTTTTTTTAATTTAAAATTTCTTACCAACAAAAATTTATGAGATTCTTTCTAAAAAATCTAATAGTCTCTGGATCTTACTTAAGGGAAAATCTTATAACACAACCTTTTAATATGGATGTGGTCCTGTAATTTAAAAAAAAAAAAAAAAACCTAATGTTATGTTCCTATCTGTTAATAAGTTCACATGGCTAAGTATTGTGGAGAACCTGAAAATTAAATTATCTTTATATACTCTTTCTAATGTTACCATTCTGAGAGCTACATGGGATTGTTTTACAAATGTTGTTATGTTGAAACTTAAGTATAAAATCAATATAAACTTTTTTTGTTTAAATTCAAAGAAATGCTCAATGATGAAATAATTAGACAAGTATAATAGCGCTCTGTGACCTATTGTAACTATTATTATTTTTGCTTTAAGTAACCTTACATTATGAGAAATATTTTATTACTTTATTTTCTCAATGAGAATCTTATCTGGGATTTGACCGAATGTTTTACATTTTCATTGACACATTCTTCACCTCTCCCTCAACTGATACTTTTTAGTTTCTGAACACTTGGAATAGATTTTTACAGAAGTTGTATAATATCTTAATTTTTAAATATATTAAAATTGTATAAGATATTTTGCCATGTAAGTTTGAATAGTTTTCTCCTTAATTGATAAAAGAAAAATTAGAAATTTGAATATTTTGCATTTTTTGCTTTTCACAGTTTTTCAAGGCAGACATGTTTTAAAAAATATTTTACGGTGCCATGATTATGTAGCAGTCTTTGGATTTCTTTAGTGGTGAGACCGTTTTCATTGCACAGGATAGATGGGCTTAAATGGCAGGAACATGACTAGAAAGTGCATGTTATATATATTTCAGTCAGCATGTTGCTACTGACAGGTGCTCAATGGTTGTTGGTATCCTTGTCAGCAAAGAGAATCCTTTGACATTAAAGTCACCAGCTCAATCCTGATTTGGGGTGACTCTATTGGCAGTTCCATCAGGCTGCAGCTGATCAGTGAATGTCAGAGCTGCAGCTGTTCTTCAGGAGTGTCACCAGCCTGCTGTGGGTTTTTTGTCTTTTTGTTTCTGTTTGTGGAGGGAGGAGTGGTTTAGCTTGTCTTGGTGTTCAATCTTAGCCAGACTTTCAAATTGCTTACCTTTGGGAAATGAACTGAGAGGTCATAGGGAATATAGGTATCTTTAGGGCATCCAAAACCATATACAAAGTGACAACTTACATGGAGACTAGTAATGATTACCTTGACTCCAAGCCAATCAATGGTGGAGCCTCTGGGGACTCATTAAATGGCATTTGTGGACTCTGTAACCTAGCTTTTGAGCTGCATTTCAGGAAAAGCAGTGACAGCCTTTAATGTCTAATTGACCTCTTCTCTTTGTTTCACTTTCATTCACTTTCCATATTTGCCTCTGATGTGGTCCCTAATGGCAGCAAACAGCACTGCTCAGCATTTTGAACTTCTGTTCAGAGCTTCAGCACCTCAGTTTGGGCAGTTGTGTCATGGTAAGTGTTTGAGAATTCTTTATACTTCTCAGTTACTTGTTCTCTTTTTCTTCCTATGGGTGAAATATATCCTGACTCACCCTGCCCCATACACACCCACAGGTTTTCAGATTTATGGTTCTCTTCTTTGTCCCTTGCTTTCAAAAGTATGTCTTTGAAACACTGATGTTATTTGTCCAGGAGAGCAAAGAAAGAAGTATAGTGTGCTGGAATATAGTATAGTTCTGCCTCAAACCAGATATTGTCTCCGACAGCTAATCACCTCTCTAGGTTTCTTCACACTCTAAGATGTTAGTCATACCCAAATGCCAATAGTTTAGTAAGTTTTTCGCTAAGCTTATTTTAGCTTTTAAATCCTGAGATAATTTTCTTGAAATTTTAATGATAATAGATAGGTTTATTTTATCTGTCTGTTTTTGTGTTTGTTTTACTGTTCTTATTGGTCAAAACAGAAAGATTAACACCCTATGTTGGAACTCTTTTTTTGTGTGTGGAAATTTTACTGGTCTGTGAAATCTAAAAGCTTAGGGACTGTTGGACTAGATAAACTTAAAGTCCTTCCAGATTTAAAATATGATTTTATGTGACCTTGAAAGAGCTCATGGGAAGAGTTAAATCTTTTAATCTAACCACATAATTACATAGCTTTTAAATAATACTGAGATGTAAAGGACAATAGAAATCTTATGTGGAGAAGGTGTGCATGTGCGTGTGTGTGTGTGCACACATGCCGTAAGTGAATCTTCCAGTGTAACTGACTGGAAGAATTCATTCCTCCTCATTTGTCCTCTGTTTCCTAAAACAATGTAGGTTTAGGAGATCCCCAGACCATTCCAGTTTTGCCTTGCATTCACTTAGTAGGAAGACTTGAATAAGCAAAATGATTGCAAGATTCTAGAAAACTGGTATGCTAGGCTTAGAGTCAATAGACAGTGTCCCTGACCTAAAATAAGTCCCATTTGAACACCTCTTAGAGCTCAGCCTGGCTTCAGAAATGCCCCAGGATTTGGCAGTGTAGACTAAGTAGGCCTCTTATGATGACATATTTATCTCCGTGTCCCCATGGTCTTTAAAATTCTGTGGTTAGGTTTTATTAAACCCCAAGTATGGGCACAGGTCGTCTCAGTCTCTAGAAACAGTCTTGGGAGCCCACTAGATTTTCCTCACTTCTGGTCAAATTCTTTCCATAGTAAGCCATTTGATAGGCTTCTGTGGGTCTCTCTAGTGACTCTTCTTGATGGGCCCAGTGACATTTGATGGCCTTTTCTGTCACAACAAACCAGCCAGTTACTGCCACTTGGATCTTCCTTATTGCTAGCCTGCCCTCTTTAGATTGGTAAGGACCATTTAACTTTGCTTAGACGTACCGTATTCTGCTTGTTATTTACCTCCCCTTAAACTGGAGCAACATTCCTTAGAAAATCAACCCTCTGACCATAGATGCTTTATTGTTGGAATTATGTATATGCTTATGGTTGGAATTATATTATTTTAAGTTAGCATTTTCCAGAGTTGACATGTAGAAAATTAGCTCTAAAGGATAATCAGTTTTAAAGGCTGTGTATTTGGGAGTGGAGTGGAGATTCCTAATGAAATTACGAAGCCGGGTATGGTTGCTCACACATATAGTCCCAACTACTCTGGAGGCTGATGTAGGAGGATTGCTTGAGCCCAGGTGTTTGAGGCTGCAGTGAGCTATGGTTATACTACTGCACTCCAGCCTGGTCTTAGAGTTTTACAGTGGTTTGTCGTACAACAAAGAAACTGTTTACTTTTGCTAAAACCAGTGTTTTCAAACCTTGCCTGACTACTGAACTCATTTTTCTATATTACATTTTATTGTTGACTGTCAATATAATAGCAATTTTTAGATTTGTGATATTTATGAAGCAACTGTTCACAGTATACACACATAGAGCACTGTGTTGACTTTGCCATGGTGATTGTGGTGTATTATATACCTTTGCTGAGTATTCGCCTCATGGCATACTTTCTCTGTAGTGAGTTTAATGTAGATACTAAATTAGTTGTGTCACTTTTTTTCTGAAACTAATCTTTGTGCCACAAGTGCCAGTTAGATTTGCAGTGACAAGAACTTCTGAGGAGTAGTGTCTCACCTGTAATAAATCTGAATATTCTAGTCAATGCCGTAAACATTTTTTTAGGACTCCTTAGAAATACTTATTTTTTCTCTTGATTGAGAAAGAGACAAAATGTATCTATTTCTTTTTACTTTTAAAAAATGACTTTAAAAAGTTTAAATTTCACTATTATATAGTGCTGATTGAAGTGATTTAAAGTTGCCTAAATTAAGGAATCTTAAGACCTGCCTGTTCTTAAGTTTCCTGCTAATTATGTGATCCTAGTCAGGTCCCTTAAATTCTTGCTGATGGTTCCTCTGTGGCATTTGCCCTATTTTTAAAATTAGATAATGAATAAGAAAATAAATATGTCTAGTATTTTGGGGGGAAAAGGAGTCCTGCATAATATCTAAAATTTAGAAGGAATTGTAGTTAATAAAGGAGGGATAGGTTGCCTTTGTTCCAGTAAAAAGTATTTAGTTTCATTTTTATTTTCCTAGCCCTGAATTTGGCATGAGTAGTGCTGTGAAAATTTCACAACAACAACAAAAAACTCTTGAAGGAATTTCTCACTGTATTCTCTGCTGGTAGAGAATTTGTTCAAATGCTGCTGAGATTGGCCAGGCACAGATTGGGCACAATCAGAATCATGAGTTTCAGAAAGTTTTTTAAATTTTTGTTTTCTAAATAAGCTAATTGGCTGTCCTGATTATCAAACCCACAGTTTTGTATTGTTCAGGTATACTCGATGAAGGAAATCCCAAACTTGTTTCGTGGACTTCAGCATGATTCCACCATACATACACTGACATCCACAACCTTAGAAATCATTACCCCTATATCTAATCTGTCAGCCTTTGGTTCCACCTCAAAAATACAGCCCCAGATCTATCAGATTTCTACAATTCCACCATTGCCACCTTAATCCAAGCCCGTGTCATCTGTCCTTTACAGTGTTGCAGGCCTCCTCAATCAGCTTCCTCCTCTGTCCCTCCCCACCATCGGCCCATCCTCCAGACAGAAGCCAGAGGTGGTTTTGCATTGGTTTTTATGTCAATAATAATATGTCACTCCTTTGCTTAGAACCCTCCATTGACTTCCTTAGTACTTGAAAGAAAAATCTAACTCCTTCATGGTCTAAATGGCCTGGCCACTGCGTGACTCTGCCCTTGGGCCATATGGATCTCATTTTTGTTCCTCGAATGCATCAACCTCATTCCTGGAGATTTCAGCGATTACCACCTCTTCTGTCAACCCCTTACACTCTGATCACTCTGACATCACTCTGTTTTATCATTTTCCCACCATATGTCACTCTTTGAAGGTATTTTTTCCTTACTTAATTAGTCTGTGTGTCTTTCCCAAAAATGTGGACAATATTCTCCTTTTTTCAGTTTACTGCTGGTCCTAGCATCTGGAGTGGTGCATAAATGTTTGTTGAAAATACAATTAAACAAAAGAACAAAAGGAAATAATCAGTGTACTTGTTTACTATTTTATTTCCTTTTGATTTCTTGTGATAATTTTAATATCTGATTTTAACAAAATCAAATGAACCTCTTAAAATAACCTATTTAAAGGAACATTATTAAAGCATATAAAGCCCAAGAACTGAAATGTTTAATCCTTGATTAGTAGAGTCTTATCCTGTAATCATGAGGTAAGCACTGGACATCTCCAATAACTGACTGTTGTTTAACATATGTAATCTACATTATTTTCATGTTGTATGTGCAGTCCCCAAATGCCTAATTTAACCCAAAACTAGTATCCTTATTAGTATTATCAGCATTTCCACATAGTGTTTTAGAGCCTACAAGATGCACATCAGGGAGCTCTTATATACCTGCCAAAGTATATTAGCCATATATAACATGGAAGAAAGTAGGTGCTGTCAATGAGTAGCAGCAGCAAGGTTGAAATGGTGGGCATAAAAGAAGAACACATAATCCTTTAATTCTTCATGAGAGACCAAAGACTTCAGACTGCTTTGGGATTTAATTCATTAACATCTTCTGTCTGGAGTTCTCTTAAATGGATTTTTAAATAAATGAGTACTCCTGGCTGTTTTATGAAACGGTGGCAGATCTGTGAGATGAGTGGGCAGATCTGTATTAACAAGGATGTGGATTTGTTTAAATGGGAGCAAAGCAATAGGTTGTAATTAAGAATCTGACTTAACAGTTTGCATGTCTGAGCATAACATGTAAAAGATTGGAATTATTTGATTTCCAGATTGAAGACTATGATGTGATAGCTAGCATGATAGGAGCCAAGTGTAAAAATCTCCGGACCCTGGATCTATGGAGATGTAAGAATATTACTGAGAATGGAATAGCAGAACTGGCTTCTGGGTGTCCACTTCTGGAGGAACTTGACCTCGGCTGGTGCCCAACTCTGCAGAGCAGCACCGGGTGCTTCACCAGACTGGCACGCCAGCTCCCACACTTGCAAAAACTCTTTCTTACAGCTAACAGATCTGTATGTGACACAGACATTGAAGAATTGGCATGTAATTGTACCAGGTTACAGCAGCTGGACATACTAGGTAAGGATGCAGTGTATGAATTTGTTTTAAATGTCTGTTTCCTTGACATAAAAGCCAATCTCAGACTTTTTGTAAGGAAAAAGAAAATTTTTGGATTCAATAAAAATTTTGTCCTGATAAGACTGCTTGGTTTGATAGGAAATGCAAGATAGATCAGTTAATATAGGGAATAATTATATATGTACTTTAATAAAATAGTGAGGACAGTAACAGAGTTTTATAGTTGAAACTATCAAAAACTCTAACCATTAATTCTTGGTCTACTTGGAAGAGTGAGAATTGACATGAGCTGTGCTCTCTATTTTTATTAAGGAGAGAAAAGAAATTGATTCATTTGTATAATGAATTCAAGCTAGTTTTTTTTTTTAAAGTTTCTTAATTAAAATTCTTGATTAAGGAATATTATGAAATCTTTATCCCTGATAATTCTAGTGTTTAGGAATAGTTCTACCCCATGCAGATCTATTGAAAATCTTTTCCAACTGTGGGATTTTTTGCATCCTTACTGCGTTCATCAGAAAGGAACCCTATGTAATTTTGTTACTTCTTACTTTTAGCCAGGGGTGCTAGCAGTGTCACAGTAGTTATCATTGTGCACACAATTGATACTTTGTGAAGTCACATCGTACTTGCACATTTTACATCAAATGCATGGTGAAAACCATTTTGAACTGGGGTGACAGAAATAGGAAAGTCTGGAGGAGCTGATTTGAAGGGATAGGAGGTAGGAATGAAGATAGTGGGTAGGATATTGGCAAGATTCAGGTCCTAGATGCTAAATTGGCTGGAAAATTCAACTTTTACTTTTTTTAACAAAATCATTTCAATATGAAGTTATGTTTGAAAAAATGATTTTAATTTGTAAAGGGTTATTTCAGGTTCATTACAAACAATAAATCATGAATGGATTAATTGTTAGCACTTTATATAAATGTTATATTTAAGGTGTTCTTTTGCTTTGTTTTGTTTTCCTTAAATAGGAACAAGAATGGTAAGTCCGGCATCCTTAAGAAAACTCCTGGAATCTTGTAAAGATCTTTCTTTACTTGATGTGTCCTTTTGTTCGCAGATTGATAACAGAGCTGTGCTAGAACTGAATGCAAGCTTTCCAAAAGTGTTCATAAAAAAGAGCTTTACTCAGTGACTTAATATATGTTCTGTAATAAAATTAATGTGCTTTGGTGGGGTTTATTTTGGGATTGGTTTTGGGTTTTGGTTGTAGTTGTTTTAATGGTAAGAATTAAGATATTTGTAGATTTTAAAGAAAAATATGAAGTGGACTGTCCATTAAATCAAGTAAAAATGTGCACAAATGTTTTCATAAAATATTGCAAGCACTTCTCTTCAAGAATATGTGAGTGGATGATATTTTTACCTTATGTTAATCAGTGATATGCTTTAGTCAATAATATGATTGATAAAAGAATAACATGGAAACATGCTAACTTATTTTCAAAAGAACACTAAGCAATAAAGTATCATGGTATTTATGCAAAAAAAAAGGTAATTTTTTACACCTCCATGTAAAGATGTCTTATTAAGCCTGTGACCTGGCAAGTGTTTTGTTCAGTATGTACAAAATGGTCAGAGCTAGTTGGAGAAAGAGACATGCTTTTCCAGCTGTTTGGTTATTTCTTTGAATTAATTGTTCAACTGGAAAATTTGTAGTTTTTCTAGCCAGGTGTGGTGGCACACACTTGTAGTCCTAGTGGTACAGGAGGTGGAGGCAGGAGGATTACTTGAGATGGGATTTTGAGACTCTAGTGTACTTACGACTACACCTGTGAACAGCCACTGCACTCCAACCTGGGCAATGTAGCAGGTCCCTTTCTCTTAAAGAAAATTGTAGTGTTTCCGCTTTTCTTCTGATATTTTTGTCTATTTCACTACGGGATAATGCCAATATAAAAATTTTGGTATAATCAAGAATAAGAGGTAAACTACTAAACAAAAAAGCTTTCCAACTGCTAGAAGCAGATGCCTTAACATTTTGCAAAAGGTAAAGTTTTGAGGTTTCTGAATATATGTGGATTTTCTTTATATATTAAAAAAATCATAAATGTGGATATATATATAAAATTATACAAATTATACAAAAACATACATTGTTTTGTTAAAAAATTAATTAATTCTGCTACTGAGAAAGTAGAAAATATTTTGTGGCACGAAAAGGCACAGCTGTTTTGAACAGAAAACTAATATTAACTGTAGTATAACAAAATTCATTGTCCTACTCAGTGCAAAATGGTTATATTCCAGCATCTGCACACCCTAGCATGATCCTGTAGAACTGTGGTAATACTGTAGCCACTAAAATAGCCGCTAATGTGGCTATTTTATTAATTTTAATTGAATTCAAGTAGGACTTCACTGTTTCAGTTGCACTAGCTACATGTCAAGTGTTCAGTAGTCATATGAGGATAATGCTTCCTTTGTGCCTGGCCCTGTTTCTTGTGCTTTGCATTTACTAATTCAATTCTCACAACAACCCTGTAAGATAAATGCCATTACTAACCCCCATTTACAGATGAGGAAACTGAGGCAAAAAAAGATTGAATAATTTACTCATGATCCTAAAGCTGCTAGTGGCAGAGCCAACATATAAACCCGGGCCATCTGGCTTCTGAGGCGTTGCATTCAACCTGTGCTTTTAAATGTTCAGGGTAGCTTCTGGCTCTAGGGCAGAGGTCAGGAAACTTTTTCTATAAAGGGCCAGATAGTAAATATTTTAGGCTTTGTGGGCTAAGAGGTAAAACTGAGATTGATATGTAGGTACTTAAATAACTGGAGAGAAATAACATTTGCACAAAAATTTTGTTGACAAAATTCAAAACAATAATTGAGAACTATCTTTTTGTAATATGGGTTTACCAATGAAAATAATTTAGGGGGAGGATCAAAGTTAATGTTTTGTGTCATTAAAGTTGATTATAAGTACTTACTTGCTAATGCTGATCTGTAATAAGATTTTACGTATCTTCTGAAAATTCGTTGCAGATAGATATTGTTAAATACTTAATCCATGAGAATATGATTTTTGTTGAGCATATTCATCACTTCGAAGGTAACTTCTTTGGATATTTTCCTTTTAGCATGTTATTACATTGCAGCTTAATCACTTCCAATTGAAGATTAGGTAGGAGCTTCTCAACTGCACTGGGTTAAATCGATTTTGAAAAATGGAAATTTCCTTTGCACTTGCAAACTCCAAACTCCAAATGGGAACTATAGTGTGAGCTACAAATTTGTGTGAGAATGGAGATCCCGCTTTGTTTTCTTACCTTTTGATAGCACAGGAAATGTGTAAAGCAGCTTGTTGTTACTTGTAATTCAAATAGTGTTGTCATCAAAATAACTTTTGTTGACATGTTTCACTTGTAAACACTTGTTTTGCCTTGTAATTTTGGCTTGAATTCATTTCAAAATTTTATTAAGTCTTGAGCAAAAGCTCAATTCCAAAGCCATTCAGTGTTCCATAATAGTGGTTGAGGACATGTCTTCTTTTTCAGAAAAATGTCAATATCAACCCTGAATGTAAAAGCTCATGATAGAACTAACACTATTATGCCATTGTGGTTGGGCAAATTGGAGCATTCATCTTCTGTATCTGACAAAAGATAACTGAATCATTGGTGTTTAATCTGTCAGAAACTATGAGAGCAAATGAAGTTCACCATTGATAATAGTAGTTCAGTAATACAAAGTTGAGTCAAATATATCCCACAAAGTACCTGCTGATGAATAATACAGTAAATAACCATAGATTTTAAATACCTTCTTACCTTTTCACTGGCTTAAAAAATTTGACAAACTTAAATCTTTTTGCTTCACACATTTTAGCACCACCAGTTGTAACACATCTTAGCAGATTCTACTTCAGGTTGCATGAAATTTGTGTTTTCTTCTTAGAAAATATTCATGCTTGTAATTGTTCCACACAGATAATTTATAGAGACTAATTTCAGTCACTTCAACATTGGCATTGACTTATCAAATAAGCAATAACTAGGCAGTATCAGTAACATCTGTTGACTCATCAAGAGATAAGGAAAACCACTCAGGGTCATTTGCCTTTTTTATTGACTGTTGATGTTGTTCCCAGTGTTCTCAATTCTTAAAGCAACCATTCTTGCCAAAAGGCTAATTTAATAGTCTTAAGCAAGTTTACTTTGGGCACGTTCCTTCAGCTGATGGAATCAAACACAATTTAGTCATCGTTAGTAAAATGTTTTCCTTGCTTAGTTAACAACTGAATCACTTTGGCTGCGACTTTATCTTCATTTTTGATTTTTTTTTTTTTTTTCTGAGACTGAATCTTGTTCTGTTGCCCAGGCTGGAGTGCAGTGGCATGATCTCAGGTCACTGCAACCTCCACCCTGTAGGTTCAAGTGATTCTCCTGCCTCAGCCTCCCGAGTAGCTGAGATTACAGGCACAAGCCACCACGCTTAGCTAATTTTTGTGTTTTTAGTAGAGATGGGGTTTTACCATGTTGTCCAGGCTGGTCTTGAACTCCTGACCTCAAGTGATCCACCCACCTCGGCCTCCCAAAGTGCTTGGATTATAGGCATGAACCACCGTCCCTGACTGCACTATATAGTATTCTTTAAGAACAGCTCTATGCTGCTATAAAGACACATGCACACGTATGTTTATTGCGGCACTATTCACAATAGCAAAGACTTGGAACCAACCCAAATGTCCATCAGTGACAGACTGGATTAAGAAAATGTGGCACATATACATGATGGAATACTATGCAGCCATAAAAAAGGATAAGTTCATGTCCTTTGCCAGGCACATGGATGAAGCTAGAAACCATCATTCTTAGCAAACTATCACAAGAACAGAAAACCAAACACCGCATGTTCTCACTCATAGGTGGGAACTGAACAATGAGATCACTTGGACTCGGGAAGGGGAACATCACACACCGGGGCCTATCATGGGGAGGGGGGAGGGGGGAGGGATTGCATTGGGAGTTATACCTGATGTAAATGACGAGTTGATGGGTGCAGCACACCAACATGGCACAAGTATACATATGTAACAAACCTGCACATTATGCACATGTACCCTACAACTTAAAGTATAATAATAAAAAAAAAAGATAGAAAGAAAAAAAAAGAACAGCTCTAATGACATTGCATATTAAACATCATACTCTGACGTCTAATCTGATTTTTAAAAATCCATATACTAATGTGCCTTAAAAATGTCACTTCAAGTCTACTTTTCTTTTTTTCTCTTGTTTTGATGTTATGGGTAAGCACTAGTAATAAATTTTAAAATATTGTGGTATGACAATATATGTAGCACTCAAAATGTTGGTAACTGCATTACTGCAATTTTTAGTGTGCCAAGGAGCAGTGCAAAATGATGACCGCACCACATAAGCCTCTTTTGCACTTATTCAACTCTGCCATTCTATTGTGAAAGCAATCATAGACAATACCTAAACGAATGAGTGTGGCTATGTTCCGATAAAATTTCATGAGCACTGAAAGTTGAATTTTACATAATTCCTTGTGTTACAAAATACTACTCTGTTAGCCATTAGATTTTTTTCAGCCATTAGAAAATGTAAAACTATTCTTATGAGCTGGCTGGATTTGGCCTGTGGACCAAATTTGTGACCCTATTCCGGAGTATTTTCGAGTCAGTTAATCCATGCTTGCCAGTTCCAAATTTTATAAACCACATTCAAACCTGTTAATCCGCTGTTACCTTTCTCATTTTGCTGTTTAGGTTTTAAAATGAAGAGCAGTGTTTTGTTAGAAAAAACAAAGTGTTTACCATAACAAGAAAGATATGTAGACAAGAAAGATATTTATGTAGACTCTCTGTTCATTAAATTTTGAAGCCAGATGATGCATTGTTAGTTTTGACAACTGACTTAAATTTTTGTATAATTATTTATTCCATTTTGCTCAGGTAAATTATCTTCCCAGAGTCTAGAAATAAAGATATCCTTGATCCTGTTTAAAAACATAAATAATCCTCTCAATGTAAATTGTTTTGAAATAAGATCTTAAAAGTACAAAATGTAGACAGTTAATACTCAGGTGCTTAATTTTGAGCCAATATGTAGAAAAGAAAAACTAATTTCTCTGTGGCAGTATTTTTATTTTTTGGCATTTCCCAGGAATTAACTGAAGAGTAAAAACTCGTATGTGCAAGTGTAATGACACTAACCAAAGAGTCAGTAAAAATTACACTCGGCTACCACGTATGTATGTATATATGTATGTATGTGTGCATATTACATATGTGAGACAGGGTCTCACTCTATTGCCCCAGGCTGGAGTGCAGTGGCATGATCTCAGCTTACTGCAGCCTCAATCTCCCAGGCTGAAGCGATCCTCCCACCTCGGCCTCCTGAGTACCTGGGACTACAGACATCACCACGCCTGGCTAATTTTTAAATTTTTTATAGAGACACAGTCTTGCCATGTTGCCTGTGTTGGTCTTGAACTCCTGGGCTCAAGTAATTCTCCCACCTTGGCCTCCTGTAGTGCTGGGATTACAGGCTTAAGCCACTGTGTCCGGCCCCATGTATGTTAATAGTGAATGTTTGGCATTTCATTTGTTTCTTTCAGCTAGTAAGGGATACCTGTTACAGACACATCAAAAATTTCACTTTCAAAGTCATTTTTGACACATCAGTGCTGCATCTACTTTTCTCCCTTTAGCTCATTTGATGTTGATACTTCCGAGAAACTTTACCCTTAAAATCTTGTCAGTGACCATTAACTGCCAATCATCACCTCATTTCCTTTTATTGACAACATACTACTAGAAGCCTAGGCTGTGAGTATAAAACCATAGCTGTTAGAGTGATTTTTTGGCAATAGCTCACATTCTGTTAAGAGTCATTTGCTTTAATCAAAGATCATGATTTTATTATTTTTTTTTATAAGTAGGGATGGGGCCAAGATTACTCTTTTGGCACAGCAGTAAGTGTACTCAAGGTCTGTGCCTGTAAGCTTGAGTATTTGGCTTAAATTTTGTACATATAAATACTGTTAAAGGTATATTTGACTACATTTTGAAAGGAAAAAGGTAGTCCTGCTAAAATTGACATTTAGGGATATTTTAATCTATGTATTTGGTAAAGTAATTAGTGAAGTATTAGTTATAAAAATTTTAAGGAAAACATTTAAAAGCACAATAGTCATATCAGATAGAATAGAATATACCAAAGATAAAACAAGTGTCTGTTACAAATGAAGTTGTCTGTACAGACAACTGAGATATTTTAATTTTATTTACATAAAAATGCTGTTCAATATCTAATGACTTCTGTTGTTTGTATTCTGTACTTTAGAGTAGTAACATAAGTTTGAGTATCTCGTTAGTTCACTTTCAAAATTGATCATTTCAGGACACCGCTGAACATAACGGAAGGTTTGGGAAAATAGGTTTGTGTCACAGCCCCTGTGAAATTATCAGCCTAGATGAGGAGCCATCGCCTGTGTACAGAACTCTTAACAATCCATCCACATGCTGTGAAATGACATCAATTTGGGTGCATTTTAAACCCTGAGATTACAGGAGTCTGCAACTACATTCTAAACTGAGTTCACACTGTTATTTATTTCTACCTTCTCAATCATTCCTCCAAATTAAGATTTACTTACTTAAAAGTTTGATTTGCTACTTAAATGAAAATTTGATACAGCGTTTTCCTCCTTTTACTCCCAAAGCATCATGTATTGGCCTTTTGTAGAAACCAATCCCTTCATTACTGTAATTCTTCTGTTGTTCCACAGTTCTTAGCCCCAAACTACTTTTGGTGAGCTAGGATGGAGTGAATGACACTGTTTAGTCAATATATATTGACAACAAAAATACATTGATAGCTTT